TGATAAATAGCAGGTTTTAGCAGTATTCAGCAAATACTCCGGTGCCTAATTATAATTAATATATCTTCATTATAGCTAGTATCTTGCTCGAAGTTAAATTTTTATTTTTAATCCTTCAGATTATCGAGAGCCTTAATGTCCAAATTAAAAATACATTCTCCTTTAAACATGTGCTTTTGACAATTTATTCAATGTATTGCAATATATCATGCTCTTTGAACCTCTGGCAAGATTACTTTATTATCAATTATAAAATTATCTGTACAATACTCTAGCAGGGATTGAACGCTCGAAGGATCAATACGATTGTTAATTAACGATAGAATAAAATTTAATAAATATTATATTGACCCGTCAGATTCATGCCAACCAAATACAATGACACACGATTGAATTCCAGTCTTATTCTCTCTTCAGTTAGTGATTTTTCGGTTCGTGCAATGCGAATTCAGGATCAAATCTCAAGGAATAAATGTGCAAATGAAATTCTGCTGTAATCGCAGAACGTTCGAACGCTGCCTCCAACTCCAAATTCCTATGTTTCTTCGCACGAAACCTCGTTCTCGAGATGGTAGATTTATTTCAACAGTTTTTCCCTGTTTCGTGCGCGATAAAGCGGTTCAGTGGTATAGGCGTGCGTATGGTCAGACGTCGAGCAGTGTCCCTTCGATGCTCTCGGTCTCGTCTGGATAAAAGGGGCAGGAAAGTTGCCACTTGTTGCTGAATTACGCAGTCGACGAGGCGGCACTGTGAGTCGAGCAGTACGAAGTCTCGTATCGGTGTATCGTGGAATGGCCCCGGTCGCGTTCGCATAAATCGCACGGAATGGAAACAGAACTGTGTGTAATCTGGCTTTCGCCATTGAACGCCGCGGCGGCGCGTGTCTCTCCGTTCCGTTTCCATATCGTAACGTCACGTGTGGCAACAAGGCGAGATTTATCGTGGCTCGATGTAAACATTCGGGCGTGATTCGTTGAAATATTATAATTATAAGTGAGAATGTAATTTAGAAAAGTGTAGTACGATTTTATTGAAAGTGGTGTATTTTTGTGGGCCGTTTATTCTGAAAATCAGCTTTCTTTTTTTTTTTTATTTTAGGAGTAATTTAGATCGCAAAGTATTGGTTTTCGTTATTGTTGAAATCGACGAGGACATTTCAAAACGTCTCAAAATGAAAGAAAATCCGTATATAATAAAAATAACGAAATGATATAAAGTGTAATGTATCCATATAATGAAAATAAATTGAAATTAAAAATTTGAAGGATATAAATAGATGTTGCGAATAATTAAATTACGAAACACACAAATGTAATTAAAAAATATACCTTCAGATAAGATACGAATTTTAAAAATTTTAAAAAATCGTCGAAATAAAATATAAATGTAACGTACAGATATAAACATGTAATTTTAAAAAATAATTCAACTGTCAGTCTAAGGTAAAAATGGCGTAATTTTACAGATTTACAGCACGTAATTTCTCACAATATTATTATTATAAATTATTATATAATTATATTATTATAAATTATTTCAAATTATTATATAATTATATTGTTATAAATTATTATACAACGTGTTTCATGCACACTTCGAGATTTGAACGATTTTGAGTGTTGCAAACTTCTTTTTATTCTCTGCAGTGTAATTTGTCCGACGCAAGAGACTTAATTTTGGAAACTACAATGTTTGGATGTGAAATATCTAAATGAAGGAACTACCATTTCAACCACTTCCCCCGGAAAACCCGTCGTAACTCGGTTTCTCCATTTATACAACAGATTCTATCACTCCTCCGAGTGAAACAGATAGAAAACGTCAGCTCTCCCGGGCCATGTTTCTCCGGGTCACGTCTCCGGTGCTTCAACCTCTCCAAGAAAAGCAAAACTTCCACTGTGATTGTGGATCAAAGGAACCCTGGTAAAAATTCCATTTGAGCCCGTTGCGTCGGCTAGCAAATCCACGTGCACGTGAGGGACGTTTTCTTTCGTTCCTAGATGTTAACCTCGGAAAATAACGATTCTCGGGTTGCTCAGTCCGCTCGGAAATCGCCGCGTTCGCTGCCAAACTGAAAAAGCGAAATGTTGAAGATCGAGATGGAAGTTCAATTTACTAAAAAGTTTTTTCAAGTCGCGGCTAAATCTATCTCGATCACGAGGATCGAGAAAACCTCCCCTTCGCAACCATTTCGTTTTGTGAGTAGACTTTTTATGAATTTTTTTAGACACGTATTTTCGAGAATATAATTAATCCTATAAGTTTTCCCAACTTGATCTGCCCTTTCGTCAAGTCAAATTGAGAATAGGTATATTGAAAAGATGGATAATTGAATTTGCAAATCCTTTTATCGGCAGTAAATTTGTCAAATTTGAGTATTATCTACTCTCAGGTATGAACATTCAATTTTCATTGCGTGTTCTATAAGATAATTGTGTCAAATCGACAAACAGGAATGTTATTTTACGCGCAGAATGCATTGTTGCACTGTGCAATTTCACACTTTAAGATCATCTGCGAACGCAGTGTCAAACTCCATAATTAAATCTCGCGACAAATTTTCGTTTCTGTCGATTTTGTCGAATTTTCATTGCGATAACGAATGTGCAAAACAAATTACATGAGTTTGATCGATGTCGTTGTGACGCTCTTTGGCGATAAAATGCGACTGTAAAATATTACAGACACTACAAAAAAAAAAAAGAAAAGAGACCTCGAAAAATATTTTAATGGAAGGCTTGAAAAGAAATTTCACAGCAACGACATTACGTTTTTGCTGGAAAAAAGAAAATGGGAAGAAGTCGTATAAAACTTGGAGGCTTAACATATGTATTTCCGTATATCTAAGGTATATTATTTATAAGTAAGCCTCAAAGAAATTTCACAGCAATGACATTACGTTTTTGCTGGAAAAAAGAAAATGGGAAGAAGTCGTATAAAACTTGGAAGCTGATTGACATACGTATATTTCAAATTTTGCCACAAATGAGAATTATTACGAAAAAGCGTAACGGAACGAACATTTATATTAGGATGACCTAACAGATCTCCGCGTATTTGCGCGTGTCTGCACGAAATTCGCCAAGTGGCGTCGATTGCAGAGTTCTCTGCTCCTCAACCATCGTAATTTCAATGTAGAAACAAGTTTACCTAATCTCCGGAGTAAATTCGCGCACGCTTTATTCATTAATCGTGCTCGATTAATCGCTCGTGGGTAGTTTCGCGAGTCGACCTTGAAGCTCGCCTCGGGTAAAGGGGTGGAAATTAAACGCGGCGCCATTCGGCCATTTTGGTACCGAGCTCGTTCGCCCGATTATTCGAATTTAGCATCGCTGCTGCAGAGAGGAGCAGCTCGTTGAAATTAATCGCGTTTTCAACGGAGATAAAGCGCCGGGTTTACTGGTTAGAAATAAAGCAGGCTTTGAGTTCGCTCGCAGCTGCGAGCCGATTTTTAACGTGGGAATAGAAATGCGACAAAATAATTTCAATGATACGTAAGACACGTGTGCGTAGAATCGTGATACGTGTAGCTAGATTTTTCTTCGTTGTCAAATTTTTCGGAACGCGACTTCCAATTTTGGAAAGGCACAGAGATTCGGGCAGAGATTCACTTTATCGAATGTACATTGCAATAAATAGATATTTCGTGTATTTTTGCTTGTTATACTTTTGCGAATTATCCACGAACGCATTATTAGTTCGTCATGCTGTAGATAACAACGAAGGCACTGCCTGTATGTCAAAATTAACGTAAAATATATAGATTAAATTAACGTAATTAACGTAACGATGACGGAGTTTCAATGGAAAATAAAGAGCGAGATGTTTATGACGTTGAAAGATAGTTGGAATTTCTCGGAATTTTGGAATGCTGGACGTTTTTTTGAAAAATATGGACAGATAGAATGGGTAGATAACAACGATAAAAAAAACAATGTATAATAATACAATAATTAACGTAATAATTGAATTCCTGAAGCTCAAGTTTTATAAATACAACTAAAGAAATAGAACTTGAATTACATTCGGTGACGTAATCATCATTAGGCTATCTTAATTGACGAAACGTCCTCGTTCGTTAATTCCAGAGGAGAGAACATTCAGAAATTAATGAGATCGTTCTACTTTTTTTTCTCTAATTAACTTTGTGGATACGAAGGAATACGGCGTAAATATTTATAGCGTATCGAGAAGAGACTTGAAATTAGAATGTACATACAGTCTTGAAAAGAATTCTTATTGTCAAATGACACTTCGGAATATACGGAATTGTAATGAAAAATACGAGACGAAGATATTTATTTCAAAGTGCGTTTCACAAACTTAAACTATCCATTCGTTTGCTCAGTACAAAAGAAATTAATTCTCTCCTCTCGTTCGGATGAGCAAAATTTTAAAAAATACAAATTTTTAATATCCTATATACATATTTTTATGTTTCTATATTTATTATATTTTTGAATCCTATTAATCCTATTATATTTTGAAATCCTATTAATTCTATTATATTTCTATATTTATTATATTTTTGAATCCTATTAATTCTATTATATTTCTATATCTATAATATTTTAAATCCTATATTTAAATTCTATTTATTATATTTTTAAATATTTATTTTTTTTATATTATATTTATTATATTTTTAAATCCTATTTTAATCCTATTATATTTCTTCCTTAAATCCTATTAATTCTATTATATTTCTATATCTATTATATTTCAAATCCTATATTTAAATTCTATTTATTATATTTTTAAATCCTATTATATTTCTCCCTTAATTCCTATTTATTCTATTATATTCCTATATTATATTTTAAATCCTACACTTAAATTCTGTTTATTATATATTTAAATCCTATATAAACTACTCTGCCTGAACTCAACAATAACATTTCACAAGAATCGTTTGAAAAAATTATATCGAGAACAGAGTTCTTCTCACTTTTTTTTTTTTTTTTTACCAAGAAGACGTTAGATAAACGTATTTTTCTTTCGTTCTGTTTCAGTGTGCGGCGACATTCACGGACAGTTCTATGACCTGATGAAGTTGTTCGAGGTGGGCGGACCACCCTCCACGACAAAGTATCTCTTCCTCGGCGATTATGTAGACAGGGGTTATTTCAGTATCGAGGTGAGTTTGAAAATTCATTCACGATGCTCTCAAAGTCCATTCCGACCTGCCAGCCCTGCCGTGAGAACGTTTCTGTAAATCGTTATTGGTATCGTAAAATCGGCGATGATCGGTATTGAAAATTGACGAGGGAAAACACGTAGAGTCGCTTTTCTCCAGATAGTATTGATTTTATTCGAGATTAAAACTTCTTGAACGAGATGAAGCAAACGACTTTAATAATAATAATAATAATAATAATAATAATATCAATACGCTTCATAATTAGTTAGTTTTTATATATTCATTTATTTATATTTTTATACTTTTTACACTGTTACATTTTTATGAAAGAAGCATTTTTTTACGTTGCACGTAAGAAATTTTAAGTTGCATTTCACGAAATTATTAATTCCCCGTCCGAACTGGGATTTCGCATTTTAGATAATTCGCAAATAATTGTTGAAAATGCGACTGGCAGCGTAGAATTTGCTCGTTGTTTAAATGAGAATGTTTCTTTCTGAAGGAAAGCAATAACTTCTAAATGCTAAAATAATTCACTGAAATTGTTTCTCGAGGAGGAAAAGCAACAATTTTCTTTGTTCGTTTCGTCGTTATTATATTAATTATAATTATTAATAATAAAAATAATATTATTAAATAATAAAATCGTTTTAATAAAAAATTATTTAAATTTATATATCTAATTCTATATATATAAATTATTGAAGGAATAAATACAACTAAAAAAATAAATGATAAAGTTTTATAATTTATAATTAAAAATACATTTATTTTTATTGAATTTAATCTTACAATATTTCATTCTAAAATTAATTCATAATTAAATAATATAAAATATATTCTAGTAAATAATATGATTAAACTAATTAATAATAATATAATTCTAAAAATTAATACTTTTATAATAATTTAAAATAATATATATACGTATATATCTTTGAAATCACAATTCAATATTTTTATTAAACTATTTAAATAAATTATTAAATTAAAAAATAATAAATTCACTGGAATTAAATGAATTAATAGTCCTGGAATAGTTTCTGGAAGGAAACAATAATTTCACCGAAGGATCTCGTCTTACAACGCGAGTTGTTTCATTCAATGTAATTCGACAGAGTTCCTTTAGAATTTCCTTCGATCGAGTCTCGACAGAATTTGATTCACCATTTGAAAAGGAGAAAAAATTTCGCTCTCCATCTTTTGTTATCTACTTGTTGTTCCGACAGAAATTTATCAGCGCATTTAGATTCCAAGTTCTCGAAGATCTTCCCATTACGTAGAGCGCAGAACGCGTGCAGATTATAATATTGACGAGGCACGTAGACCAGAAGCAGAGTTTCTCTCTCTCTCTTTCCCCTCGTGCTCCTTTTCTCGATTATTCGACTTTCTAATTAGCGATCCGCCTGGTTAATTACCAATTAATATGCTCCCCATTCATCTTGGATTGTGGTTAATCGCCGAGAATGCAAATCTCGCGGCGAAGTTCCAACGTTTGAATGAAATTCACGCGCAATTTATTGCTCTCTAGATCACGCTGGATCGCGTCCTTTCTGGAAGAATTATTCTTCAATTAAAAACATAGCAATCGGGCTCTTTCCTTGAGCTTTAAAATTTTAGTTGATCATTGAGAATAAGAATCGAAGATCGTGCTGGCTGGATTTGTTAATTGAAAAAAGAAACAATGGAAATATTTCAATCTTGGGAAATGAAATAAAGTTTCTCCTACGCCGTGTCAGTCGTTCCTGTTACGAAATCGTGATTTTGTTTGAAGACAAAACGACGAGCAACGAGTTCAATTTCAATTTTTTTAAATTTGTTTAAAACTGTAATTCCATCAAGTCGTTGATCCACACGAATTGGCTCGTGTTTTCGTCGAAAATGAAAGTTGAAACAATTGATCCGATAGACAAAAAGTGATGTTCACGTTGTGGACGATAACTATTTCTTGAGATGAGAAAGAATTATTTCCGTCCGAGGGTAAATGAATACTTGGACGATGAAATGATTTTCGAGAAGGGATCGTTTGCTTGTCCGAAGGTAACGTTGATTTCGAGTTAGATGATCAATTTTCGTTCGATAGTTCGTTCAAGTACGCCGCCACAATTTTCCTCGGCGTTCCGTCTTCCAGCGGACTTTTTCCCACGGAAAAACGGATAGAACGTACGTGTGTATGTGTGTAAGATGAAACCTATAATACCACAGTAATAAATAACGGTTGCCCGAGTTGTCCGATCTCGTCCACTCGAGAGGACTCGTCCCCGGCGATCGGCCACGATGAAAAGAATTTCAACTGGTCGGCGAATTGAAAAATCGTGGAGCAGTTTGCCCGTTCGTTTTTAAGAGGATCTCTCCCTCCGGTCCCGTAGGAACGTGAGCATCTGCGTGACCGTGCCCGAGCACACGCGACCAACAAGGACGCAACGAGACCCACCCTCCCCCGCGTCGCGAGATCGATACTCTCTATCCGCAATATGCTTCGTTGGACTCTCTCTCTCTCTCTCTCTCTCTCTCTCTCTCCGGAGAAGCAGTCAGGAGAGGAAAGCAACGTTCCTTTTCCCCAGGATTTTTCCGCGAGACGCGTTGGAACGCGAATGCGACACGCGAGAGACAAGATGATAGCAGTCAGTGAAGGGATTTTACCTTCTGTAGACATTTTTAATCGAGTCGAGAATACAAAAATATTTGCTTCAATTTTGTGAATTAAATTTGCCACTTTAGAACGATATGGCCGACTGTTCCGAAGAAATAATTATGGAACTCTGGAATTTTTGTTGCTGCCACAGTCGCCAATTAATGGATTAAAGACAGTTGTGAGCCACGTTGCGGACCATAACGAGTGACCGAATCGTACACGATAATTCTCGCTTTCTTTTTGAACTCGTCGGCATAATATGAAAAATATAGATAGAAATTATTAAGAGGTAATAAATTTATTATTTGTTTTGTCTGTGTATTTGGTTGTACTATATATTTGAAACTAAAATATTGCGATTTTTGGGACAAAAAAATTCTCGACGTCATTTCAGCGCAGCAAGAGGTTAAGAAATATATTTGTTGAAATTTTGTGTCACTGGAAATTTAATCGATTCTACGTTTAATGAGGACTGGGAATTAAAGTGAAAGATTCGAGCGCTAGAAATTAAATATATGAAACTTTTCTTTTCTACTGAATAATGGCACTGCACAGTTAATTTCATATTATAAGATAGTTTTGTGATTGTATTGTATCATTATAAGATAATTGTATAGTCTCTTGCACAATAGAGTGATGTGCTAATTTTCGAAGGTGGATGCTAGATTTTTGTCCAAGTTTTTCATTATTTAATTGAATTTCAAATGGTATATTTCTTCCCCGGCGCAATTGGAAGCAAATTTTTTTACATTGATTTCACTCTTTATTATTAATAGCAAGTTGTTAACAATACCGGGCAAATTTTCACACCAGATTTCCCTGTTATCGAATACTTTAATTTTTCAGATTATTCTAGCCTGCAACGAATGTTACGTATCTGATATATTATGCTCTTCCTGTACAGATACATATTTTTTTGTAGCTTCAACCAAAATGGCCAATTATATCTTTATCACATATTTACAAAGTCGTATCTGTCTCAAATTGTACAGACGTGTTCAAGTTTTCAACTGGCAGGTTGCAGACACGTGAAGATTTCGCGGCCTGCTCGTGACTTTCGCTTCAGTCGCTCGAATGTCAGTTACGACGGCGAATAAAAATGAAAGCGACGAGGAAGGGGGAGGGAAATTTCGAAAGTGGATGAAACGGTGAAAAAGGAAAAGAGGGAAAGCGTGTAAGAATATTTAGCAGTAATGAAGTGGGGAAAGAGCAGAAGAGAGCACGGACGGTGTAAAGTGGGTTAAGAGTGGAGAAAAAGGTATAGGAAAGCGAAGAGAGGGCGGGAAAAATGAAAAGGGCGGATCACTGGGAAACGACTCGAGTAAAAAGAGGGAAAATGAAGGGGGGAATTGATTATATTCCGTTGGAAAAAAAGAATGAAACAAAGAGGAGAGAGGTATTGGAAAGAGGATGGGAATAAAAAGGAAATAAATAAAAAAAATATAGCTGCAGCGGGGAGGAAAGAGAGGGAATGGGATTTAGGATAAAGAAATGGATAAAAATAATGGGTGTGGGAGGGAGGGAGGTAGGAGAAACAACAATGGAGAACACAATCATGAATTCACGTTCATAAATCCAGCAACTGAATACGTGCTGATATATTGTTCGTCAAGAATTCGAGAAATACAAAGACTAGGAACGTGGGATGTTTAATATTGATCTGATTTGAAAAATTGTCAATTGCTAGAAGAGAGTGTCCTTGTTGTTGTCGGATCGATTAATCGGTTAAAGTTTAAGAGAGATGTCACTTGAAATTTAATGTCAATTGAACGTTTAATAGATTCCGTGTCTAATGGAATTTTATGAATTACACATGGTAAAGGATTTGTGCCTAACTGAAAATTAAATATATAATGGATCCCCGAGAGAAAGGGTGAATTTTATTTAACGAATTTTGATACGGCGAATCAATTTTGCTTAACGATATTATTTAGTTTTATTTTATTTAATTTTCTGTCGAGCAGAGAAATTGAAGGAAAGTTTTCGTGTTCTTTGACGGAAACAAGAAACAATTCGATATCTTAATTAAATTTAGTGAAATTTAGTAAAATAATTCTGACATTGCCGCAGTGGTTTTGAAGGGTTCTTCGCCATACACACTAGATAATTTTTTACTGTCTTTTTTTTTCCTTTTCGAAGGCAATACAACAAAACATGACGAAAATGTCGTTTTTGAAATCGAGGTCGAACAAACAATTGTCTGTCGACGAGATCGTTGTTTTCCTTTTCCTCCAAACAAGCATCACACAGTGAATTCTGCAGTTTGAAATGAAGTTAGTTACATTTTTTAGTTACAACTTTTTCTGATATAATAAATTTTGTTATATAATTTTATGTATATAGTTATACATAATTGTACGTA